GGGGGGTGGGCGGCCCCAGGCCCGGGGCAGAGGACTGCGGAAGGTCAGCTGTCGGGACCCGCAGCCCCCCGCAGCCCCGCACCAGAAGGCTAAGCCTGAGCTTTTGCAAAGACCCCGTGGCCATCCCGGTTTCCTCTTTTGCTTTTTTTAAAAATTCCCACCCGGGGGACATGGTCCTTCTTGGTTTTTAGAGCGAAGGAAGGGAAGAGGAGCGGAAAATATTCGGTTTGGTTGCCCTCCCTGTTATGCCCTTGACCAGGGGCTGGCCCCCGCAAGCCTTTTCTGGTGTCCCCGGACACCCACCGGCCCTTCCTTCCTCTGGGCTACCTTCCTGGGGCCGGGGCCACGGCCTGGCCCCGCCCCCCTCCCCGGCTGCCATACAGCGTCCCCACAACCTCTGCTCAGGGCCCCTCTCTCCCGGGACCACACCCCCAGCCACAGGCCCCACGGGCTGTAACCAGCGAGGTGGACCGACCCGAAAGGCGCAGGCGCGGGAGCGGGTCCCACCGAGTGTGGAGCCGCCGCGTACTCCCAGGCCCGCTGGCAAGGGCTGCCCGGCCGGTCGGTCACTGCAGGGCACACGTGTCTGGGCAAGTCCAAAGACCAATCTCTGAACTTAAGGCCACAACTACAATTTACAAGCTGCTCCCTTAAAACCAAAGTGAATCCCTAGCTGGTTGCTCAGTGGTTAGAGCGTTGGCCCATGGACTGGAGGGTCCCGGGTTCGAGTCCAGTCAAGGGCATGTAGCTGTGGCAGGCTCGATCCTGGCCCTGGTCAGGGCGTGTGGGAGAGGCAACCAATCAATGTGCCTCTCTCGCTTTGATGTCTCTCTCTCCCCACCCCCCCACCCCCACTCTCTCTGAAAAGAATCAATGGAAAAAATACCTGGGGGTGAGGATTAACAAAAAAGCTAAAAAACAAAGTGATACAGAAGTATTTTATTCCTCTAAATAACCAATGAGGTTATTCAGAAAATCGACAGACCTTAAGCCAGGTAATTTCCCGTTGATCGTGTAGGAGGAAAAAATGTTTTGAAATTATCAACAGAGCAGTTTAATATGAAAAGAGAACGAAAGAAGGAAATGAAGCAACGGGTGGCGATCTGAGAGGAAAAGGACCAATACCCTGTTCGACGGCAGCACAGGGAGGGAGGGAGGGAGGCGCCGCCCGCAGCTCCGAGAGCTGCTACCTGGGCGGACAGGGAAAGCACTTGAGTCTAGGGACCGGCTGTGACCCCCCCTCCCCGGCTGCCCCCCTTCCTGGCTGCCCCCCTCCCCGGCTGCCCCCTCCCCGGCTGCCCCCTCCCCGGCTGTAGACCCCCCCTCCCCGGCTGTGACCCCCCCTCCCCGGCTG